CAGGACCTTGGCCTCTTCCCAGGAGTCTGGGCCTCACCGAGTGTCTCCTGCCCTCGCTGAGCAAGGCTCCGTGGTGGTGAGAGATGGGGAAGAATGTCGCGATAGCCGCGGTGTAGGGAGGCCTGGGAACAGGCACTGCGCCCACTTTCAGGAGGACAGCACCAGACCTGTCCCCACGGCTGCCTTCGGGAGTCAGAGAAGACCTGGGAGGGACCCGCTGGTCCCATTAGTGGCCCTACAAGGACCCCATCAGCAAGAGGGACGTTCCCAGTGATTTGGTGCTTCCCAGCCGCGTGCTGGGCCGGTCCTGCCAACTTCACAAACACAAAACCGGGAAGAGAAGGACAAAGCTGTGGCCCCGCAGGGCGGTCACACCAGCTGTGCTGCTGGGGTCCCCTGGGTCCTGCCCACCACCAGGTGGGGGACGTGCCAGTCTGGGGTCTTCCCCTCGCCTGAGCCTCTGCACCGCGTCCTGACGTTCCAGTGAAGCCGGGCGGCCTGGCGGGCAGGTTGTGCTGGGGACTTGGAGCTGACAGGGACTGGGCCAGCTGTCACCTTGTCCACATGCCAGGCTGGCTGCCAGGGACAGAGGGAGGGGATGGTGGCCCTTCCCCGAGCCCCTTGGCCACGGCTGCCTCTGTTCCTTGGCTCCCCGACAGGTTGTGCTGGGGACTTGGAGCTGACAGGGACTGGGCCAGCTGTCACCTTGTCCACATGCCAGGCTGGGGGGATGGTGGCCCTTCCCAGAGCCCCTTGACCATGGCTGCCTCTGTTCCTGGGTCTCCGACGACTCCCGCAGGGGCCCCCCAGGACTGGGCTTCAATGACCAGCCAGCGTCGCGGCCGCCGGGCTGATGGTGGCCCTCCTGACCAGCTCACGGCCCGGCTCCGTAAACCACATCCCACAGCCGTGGGAGGGGAGCCCAGGGCTGCGCTGGCCCCGCTGTCCTGGTGACAGGAGCCAAGGGCTGGGCTTCTTCCTGCTCCCGAGGGTGTGGCAGATGGGAGCCCTGAGAGGTGGCGTGAAGGTGGCCAGAGCGGAGCCCGGGAGGCCCCCTGGAGAAGCTGTGGCGCTGCCCACGGGGATGCCATGAAGTCCAGACCCCCTGGCACAGGTCGGCGACCCCTCCACTCATCCCAGGTGGACAGGGGCTTAGGACCACCTCAAGGTGGTCACTGTCCCAGCCATGGGACCTCGGAGGCTGCATTTCTTCATCTCTAAAATGTTACTGAGTCCCCTCCCTTCTC